TAGGGTTTAGGGTTTAGGATTTACGGTTTAGGGTTGATACCCGGGCCCATACTTCAGACCTTTTTGAAGAAGGTACGCGACCGTGTGAACCACACGCAGCCGGTGAATACTGGCCCGATCCCTGTCCTTCCCAGTATGCGCCTTAGGGCTTAAGACGCTGAGGGAAGTTTTAGGGGTTTAGGGTTAAGGGTTTAGAGTTTAGGAGTTTAGGAGCTTAGCAGTTTAGGGGCTTGCGAGGTTTAGGGTCCAAGGCACCTTCACGCCATCCTTTTGCTGGCCATCCGCGCGCAGCACCTGGCGCGCCAAGGGCAAGGTCTGCGTTGCGGGGCTGGGCCTCTTCGAACTCAGAGCGGCCGGAATCACGCATGTTGAGGCTTTTGGGGGAGACTTCGTGGGGGTTTTAGGGTTTGGGGGTTTGAGTTTAGGGTTTAGGGTTTAGGGATTAGGGTTTAGGGTTTAGGGTTTAGTGTTTAGGGTTTAGGGTTTAGGGTTTAGGGTTTGAGGTTTGAGGTTTAGGGTTGAGGGTTGAGGGTTGAGGGTTCAGGAGGTCCACGCCTCGAGCTCATATTTCAGAGCCGAGATCTGCTGGTCGCGCCTGCGAAGCGCAAGGCGGCGGGTTTCAGGGACTGGCTGGGGGTTTTGGGTTTAGGGTTTAGGGTTTAGAGTTTAGGGTTTAGGGTTTAGGGTTTAGGGTTTAGGGTTTAGGGTGTAGAGCTTTTTACCTACTATCTGCTTAAGAACCCCAAAAAATGAAAACTAATAATCCCTATGTTGCCCTTATAAGGAAGAGTCTTTGTGTTTTTTGGGGGGGTTCTTTAAGCAATTCGTAGTTACGGCTTGCGCATTCGGAGGGCTTCGTGTCTATGGGGTAGCTTTGAATTCTAACGGGCTAGAGCCTCATTTTAGTTTACGACTCTTGGGGGCACCTTATTGTGGTCCTATTGTTGGGGGATCCTACTATTTGGGGGTCCAGATTAGGGGGTCCCTGATGATCGTAAACCCCTTTATGAGTCTACTGGAGACCCACGAACCTTCCATGGCTCCAGAAACTAGAGCCACTTTGGGATTCAGGAGGGAGGATCCCAAGGGGTGAACCGTGTCCACACCGCCAGAACACCCAAAACCCCAAAACCCTGTTTCGGACTTAGAGTGCGGGCTTGGGGTTTGGTAGGGTTATGGCTTTACAACCGAGTTTAAGACTTGGGGTGTGGGCTTGCGGGTTAGTAGGTTTAGGAACTTGAGATTTGGGCTGGGCTTAGGTTTTCGGGCTGTTGAATTCCAGCAACCATTGCGCCTTGCTACAGGTACCTGAACCGTCACCGTTCACGTCGGAAAACACATCAAGGAGCCCTACACACCAGGGCTTCCTTCAATGCACCTTGGCCCAAGCACTCGAAGAGCCCCTCAAAACCCTCGAAACCGAAAAGACCTCCCGGAAGCCTCTGACCTGTCAAGCTATCAGGGGTGTGGGTGCCCAGGAAGTTCCAAGACTCCAAGACCTCCTTCTAGACAGCATGGACAGCCCTACAAAGGCAGGGATTAGAAAACTCGGGGTCGCTGGAGTGCGCTGGGGCCGCCACGACGCGATTTGCTTCTCCTTCTCGCTCTCCGCCTCAGCTGCCCAAGGACGCGCGCAAGGCTGCTAAGAAATTGCCACCTGCGAGCCTCACAGAAAGTGGAAAAGCACACTCTTGAACCAAAACTCCCAGTGCACAATCAACACATACGTCTTTGTATTCATAAACCTTTGGGCTTCATATAAACAAACAGAATTAAGCAAGACTGGCTCCCCAACCAGGGAGGCGACCGCCGCCAGGGCTCTAGTAATGGCATCCCCATCCCTTGCGCCTCCGCACGCCGAGACTCCAGGCACGCGCGCTGCTCCTGGCTGGGGAGTACTTGCAGGTTCATGGTCTTATAGCCCGTTTAGGGTTTAGGGTTTAGGGTTTAGGGTTTAGGGTTTAGGGTTTAGGGTTTAGGGTCTAGGGTCTAGGGTTTGGTTATAACTGTACTTCTAACCCACTTATAAGCCCCTTAACTGGTTTAACATGACTATAACTGGGTCATAGTTCTAAGTACAGTTATAGTTGGTGGGTCCTTAAGTCTTGTGGGGTTGAAAGGGGCGTATGTAGCCTAAGGTTCCCTACTACTCCCCACTCCTAAGGGGCCCCTCAGCTTCCTTAAGGTTCCTGAGGTACCTTATGAACCGCCCCCCCTTAAGAACCCCATAAAGGAGGCCTCCACCCTCTTTTGAGGCCATGCTCCAAGGGGCCCTTCGCAGCCCTAAACCCGAGATCCTAAACCCGAACACCCTAGACCAAGGCCAGATGCCCAATTTTCGCTTAAACCTCTGGGGCCTGCCCCTCCAAGCTCCTAGTTCCCAGCCGCTCGAAACTTGGCCAAAAAACTCCCGGAAAAGTAGATATGAAATCAAAAAACTCTCCCTCAAAACGTACCCCCAAAACTGTCATTCAAACTTTCGTTCAACACTTCGTTCAAAACGGTATTTCAAAACGCTCTTGGGACCAAAACCCTATACAATTTCTATAAACCCTAAGTAAACCCTCTAGCCCCTAAACCCTAGACCCGAAACCCTAAACCCTAGACCCTAAACCCTAAACCCTAAACCCTAAACTGGATCCTCGGGGAGCTGAGAGGTTGCCAGGGGTTTGGGGACCATGCTTCCCCTCCCAGCTCCTCGAGCGCGGCGGCGGTTTCGAGCTTCTGCGCGGCAGAACAAAGCTGGGGGGCTTCAAGGGGTCAAGGCGGGTTTAGGGTTTAGGGTTTAGGGTTTTGGGTTTAGGGTTTAGGGTTTAGGGTTTAGGGTTTAGGGTTCAAGGGGGGTTTAGGGTTTAGGTTTCGGGGGTTGGGGTTTAAGGTTTAGGGTTTAGGGTTTAGGCTTCAGGGCTTCAAGGGCTCAAGGATGTTCAAGAGTTCAAGGGCTAAGGGTATAGGGGGTTGAGGGTTTAGGGCTGGGGGCTTTCTAGGGCTTAGGCGGAGATCTTTGGGGTCAGCAAAAGGTATGTAAAAACAGTCATATTTTATATCATGACATTCTGTGCTACCACTATATCTTTATGTACATCTTCTATTCTGTTCTACTGCTATATTGCATACATATATATATATATATGATAATATTCTATCACTAAATTGAATATTAAGTTTACGTGTTCATATGGTGGTTTACGAAAATAGGGACCCCTAAATTAAACCCCAAATAGTAGGATTCCCTTGCAATAAGGACCCCAAGAAGGTACCCCAATTTTCGGAAACCCCATAAAGTATGTACTTGGGCCTGAGAAGGGGTTCCCATACGGTCGCTTTAGGGCCCAGGTATATGCTTCACGAAATTGAATAATAATAATGGTAGTAATATATGTATATATATATATATATTATGCACACACATATATCCAGAGCCCAATACCCCTTAATTTAGAATACTCCTAAGCCCTAAACCCTAAACCCTCAACCCTAAACCCTAAACCCTAAACCCTAAACCCTAAACCCTAACCGGGTTTAGGGCAGTAGCAAAAAAAAAACCTACAACCTAGAAATTCATACCTCTGCCTTTAATAACGCCCCCCTGCTCGGCCTTCGCCTCCTGCGTCGACTCGAAGGCCCTGGTGGCCTCCCAAGGGCTTTGGGCTGATTTCCGGGTTTCAAGGGTTTCAAGGGCTTCAAGGGCTTCAAGGGCGTTTAGGGTTTAGGGTTTAGGGTTTAGGGTTTAGGGTTTAGGGTTTAGGGTTGAAGGGTTCAAGGGTTTCAAGGGTTTCAAGGGTTTCAAGGGCTTCAAGGACTTCAAGGGCTTCAAGGGCTTCCAGGGCTTCAAAGGTTTAGGGTTTAGGGTTTAGGGTTTAGGGTTTAGGGTTTAGGACTTAGGACTTAGGGTTTAGGACTTAGGGTTTCAAGGGTTTGTCAAGGGTTTGTCAAGGGTTTGTCAAGGGTTTGTCAAGGGTTTGTCAAGGGTTTCAAGGGCTGCAAGGGTTTGAAGGGTTTCAAGGGTTTAGGGCTTAGGGTTTAGGACTTAGGGTTTAGGGTTTAGGGGTAGATTTTGGGACCCTGTAGAAAGTAAACTCTTCATGGCCTTATAAGGACTACCTAGGGATTAGGGCCATTAAAGGTAAACGTCATCTTCAAAATCAGCCCGTGTTTAAGGTGGGTAGGGCTCGAAGGGTTTTTTATGCCTTAGAGCTTAGGGGCTTCCGGCTTCGAGCTTTTGGGTGTTGAGCTTTGGGTCTGCAAGCGCTTGTAGGGCTCAGGGGCTTCAATGCGTGGTCGACGCGAGGCATGATTTTACCTTGTTTCTGGAAGTCCGGAGAAAATGCGATACACAAAACCTGCGGCCCTTTGTTCTCCAGGGCTTTTAGGGCTTAGGGTTACCCTATGAATTCTTGGGGCTGAAGGGTTTAGGGGTTTAGGATGTTGGGCTGGCGCGAGAGAGGCCCGTGCCTTCCGCCAAAGCCGGTTGATCCGATGCAACGCAGGGGGGCCGGGCAATTCGGCGTCGTAGGCCTTGCCAGGAGGCATCTGAAGGCGACACTTCTGGAGCTTCAGGGGCCTGAATAAGTAGAATAGGGCTGCCCACAAAAAGCAGCGCACCCATTTCTTCATGCCGTCACGCCGGTTCGTCGCGCAAGATATCCCAGAAGGTGCTTTCAGGTCCCCGTCCCCTAGCAGGGCGGGGCTTGGGGTGTAGGGTGAACCCTAAACCCTAAACCCTAAACCCTAGACCCTAAACCCTAACGGGATTTTGAGTGTAGGGTTTAGGGGCTAGGGCTTCGTGCCACGGAAAGAACCTTCGAAGTAGCACACGGGGGAGCATCCACAGAGCCCAATGCCCCTTAACCAAAGAATATTCCTTCAGTTATATTAGGGATCCCTCTAAAACTTGATGGTCTACGGCTTATTTGCTTAAGAACCCCAAAGAATAAAAACAATAATCCCAATAATAAGGAATATAATTTTCAGAGGGGTCTTGGGCTCTCTGGGCATTTTCAGCAGCAGAGGAAGGTCCACGGCTCCGACTCATTGATGGCAGGCTTCGCCGAGGCGTTCAGGGCAAGCAGCGAGGAGCCAAGGACGCTGCAGCCAAAACCTCAAGACTAGGGTTTGGGGTTTAGGGTTTAGGGTTTAGGGTTTAGGGTTTAGGGTTTAGGGTTTAGGGTTTAGGGTTTAGGGTTTAGGGTTTAGGGTTTAGGGTTTAGGGTTTAGGGTTTAGGGTTTAGGGTTTAGGGTTTCGGGAATTAGGCTGCCACATGCGTGTTTTCGGGTTGTTGTTTACGAGGGATGGGGGTCATAGGGATTCGAGTCCTGGGATGTTCGGGGTCAGCGTTATAAGGCTTGGTGGGTTTCTGACCCGAATACGGAGAAAGGAAGATATTCTAGAGAACTGCCCACATGTAGGTTTAGGCTTCAGGGTTTGGGGCTTCGGGGGCGTGGCGAGGGTCCTCACACCTACAGCCTTAGAAGCCGAAAAGCGGTAAAGCCCGATGGAAGGGCTTACCCTAAACCCCAAACCCTAAACCCTAAACCCCAAACCCTAAACCCTAAACCCTAAACCCCAAACCCTAAACCCTAAACCCCAAACTTCCACCAAGCATCCTTTGGGGCCCTCGCCGGTGTAGTCCACTGGCCCGTCACAGAGGACGTTGTCAGCCAAGGCATGGTCACCTGTGAAGGGGTTTAGGGTTTGGGGTTTGGGGTTTAGGGTTTAGGGTTTAGGGTTTAGGGGTTAGGGTTTAGGGTGCCTGTTACAGTTCCTCTCCTCTCGCACGCAGCCCTGTATTGCCTGCGGGGTTTTCGGGCTCTAACCCTAAACCCTAAACCCTAAAACCTAAACCCTAAACCCTAAACCCTCAACCCTAAACCCTAAACCCTAAACCCCGACCGAGCGGCCCATGAAGTGCAGGATACGGAGCCGCGCGTCTTCCATGCCCAGCTGCTCCATGGAGGAATCGCTGATCTTGCAAGCAGCTTCTTGTTCAGGGTTTAGGTAAGCCCTAGGGGCTCAGGTTTAGGGTTTAGGGTTTAGGGTTTAGGGTTTAGGGTTTAGGGTTTAGGGTTTAGGGTTTAGGGTTTAGGGTTTAGGGTTTAGGGTTTAGGGGTGGATTAGAGTTTTTGTGTTCCACAAACCTAAGTAAGGCTTTCAGGGGATCAGGGTCTGGGGTTTTTCTAGGCGTCGAGAACCGGTGTCCGGCCAAGAACCTTTGCGCCTCACACCCCCCACAGCCGGAACCCACAGCAAAGTCCCAAAGCCCCGAGCACCCTGAAGCCCCAAAGCTAGCCGCGAAAACTTACATGCTTAGGGCTTGGGGCTTAGGTTTTTGGGTTCAGGGTGTAGGGTTGAGAGCTCTATGAATCATCTATAGGCTAAGGAAACTGCAAGGTCACAGCTGAGAACCACCACTACCCTAAGCGCTCGAAGCGAATCAGTCGAGCGGCAGGCTCACCACACTTCCGCACCGTGCAGCCTCCACGGTTGTAGGAAACGCCACTCCTCGGTGTGACGCGTAAGACTGGGGAGTTTAGGGTAGAAGGCCCTTCAGTGCCCGAACATGGTTAGAATTGGGTTTTAAGTGCAGTTATAATTGGGTTGTTAAGTACCATGAACCTCCAAGTAAGACTGGGGATTTTAGGGTTCAGGGCTTTCGGGTTTCGGGTAGGGCTTGGAGTAGTAGGGATTTCGGATTTCAGGGCTTGGGGCCTTAGGGTTGAGGGCTTAGGCGTTCGGATACAAGGCTCAAAAAACTAAAGGTCTCGTGTTTATGTCACTTGGGTTGAGGGTTCAAGCTTTTCGGCTGTCCGGGGGGGTTGTCCTAGCTTCGGGCCCCGCAAAAAACAACAAGAAAACCCTACGAAACACCGAGCTTCGCCAGCAAGGTTCGCTGCTTCACCGGGCCCAGGCCAATGACCTCGCTAGCTTCTCAGTTTGAGGCTTAGGGCTTGGGGTTGCGAACTTTGGGTCAGTTTAGGGTTCATTCTGTGCTAAAAAAGAGCACGGAATTTGGGACGCATCCGGCCTGTGCATCAGGAAACAAAACAGCAAACCCAAACAGCAACATGTACAGCCCAGAGCGGGAGCCGAAGCTTGAGAGAACACCCAGAAACCGCCCCCCAAAGCCTCCGGTTTGTAGGGTTCTTAAGAGAGGGGGCTTCATGGGGGTAGGTACCTAGGGAACCTTAGGGGAGCTTAAGGAGCCTTAGGGAGTAGTGGGGAGTATTCGGGAACCTTGGGTTACATACCCCCCTTTGGGCCCCCCTCCCTTAAGAACCCCATAAATAGTTGCGGGTGCGTGGGAACCATGCAGGTTCGTAGCTGAAACCTTATAACCCGAAACCCTAACGCCGCGCAGGCCCTTGCGCCCTGGCGCTACGCCGTCGCAGCAGGCAACACACTGGGCCGCCGGCATCATTGAGGCAGATCTGCTCATTGCTGCTGCACTGGTGGTCCTCCGCATATCATGGGGTTCTTATGGGAGGGGGTTCATGGGGCGGTAGGTACCGCGAGAGCCTTAGGGAAGCTTCGGGGGCCTTAGGGAGTAGCGGGTTAGAGACCCCCCCTGAACCCCCTGAAGAGCTCTACGGACTCGAGGGAGGCGAAATCTCGATACGCCTTAAGTTGCGAGGCCGGGGTTTGGTGATGGCATCCTGGGCCACGCTGAGATCTGGGGGGTTTCCGAAACTACTTGGAGGTTCATGGGCACTTATAACCACAGTTATAAGTCTACTTATAACCTTATTGGGTCCTTATGATAAGAGGATCCTACTACTTGGGTGACTACATGAAGTATCCCATATGTTCGTAAGCCCCCATCTACCGCGGCTGAACCCGAAAACACCTAGACCCGACTGGAGTAGATTCCATGGGGGTTTTGCACCGCGACTAAGCGAGTAGCTCTAACCTTTTTCTTGCCGGGGGGGGGGGGGGGAGAGAAGGGGGTTTCGGCCCGCCCCTACTTATCACTACCTTGGTACCAGTAACAATATTGTAATAAGGGCACCCTTTTTGGGGTTGGTTATAAACCCAGAACCAAAAAAGGGTAACCGCTGGGCTACCAAGCTACTTATCACTACCCAGGAACCCTGAACTCAAACAATTCACACCCCAAACCCTAAACCCTAGGACCCTAAGCCTGAACCCTGAACCCTAAACCCTAAATCCTAAACCCTAAACCCTAAACCCTAAACCCTAGACCCCAAGCCCTAGACACCAAGCCCTAAACTTGCCCATCCTGGATGCCGACGCGCCAGGTCTTGAGGCCTTGGGGCCCGAGCACGTGGGCGTCCACGGTGTCCCGGAACAGGTCCTACAGGGGGTACCCAGACCCACGCAAGATGCCTAAAACACTCCATGAAGGTACACATTACCCTAAACCCTAAACCCTGAACCCTCAACCCTAAACCCCAAACCCTAAACCTTGCCAAGGGGTACTTGGGTGCAGGGCAGGGCTTGGGATATGCATGGGGCCAGACAGCAGCTTCCCTAAGTTAGGGCCGCTTCTCGGGTAACCCCAGATGTGAAAAACCACCTGAACGCCACCCAAAGCCCACAAAAAGCCCCTCGACAACCCTTAGATTCCCCAAAAGCCCCTTAAAACCCTTCAATTCCTTCACACCCACAAAATCATGAATTCCCTTAAAAAAAAAAAAAAAAAAAAAAAAAAAAAAAAACCTTACATTCGTTTTTAAAAAACTCCTTTTTGAAACCCTAAAACACGCAATGCCCAAGGACCCGACCGAACCGCCCCCGCGAGCCTGCGACCATTGGCTGCCCTTGGCCAGGATGACCCCACCGTTGATCCTGCTCTTCGTATGCGGAGGGGTGTAGGGTTTTGGTGGTTGAGGGGTTTGGGGCTTAGGGGTTTAGGGTTTAGGGGTTTAGGGGTTTAGGGGTTTAGGTGTTGAGAGGTTTAGGGGTTTAGGGGCGAAGGCGTGTAGACCCTTGGGCAGGGTTGAAGAGTTGAGGGTGGGCTGAGGGTCCAGGACTCAGGGTTTAGGGGTCCAGGGTCGAGGGTTGAGGGCTTGAAACACGAGATTCCTTGGGGCTTCAGGCTTAGGGTTCGGGTTTAGGGTTTGGGGGGCTTAGGGTTTCGGGTTCTTGTTTTGGGTTTGGGGTTTCAGGGCGAAGGCTTGAGGTTTCCGGGGTTTAGCATGCTTAGCTCACTGCTTTTTCCTTTAAGGAGCCCTTCGTCTGCGAAATCCCGGTTTGACAGCAATGCCGGTAGGAACGAGGGGGCTGACGATGCAGAGGGCATTGCGCACCACACCCTCAAAAACAGTAGGGTCTAGGGTTTAGGGTCTAGGGTTTAGGGTTTAGGGTTTAGGGTTTAGGGTTTATCTAGGTTTGGGGGTTTGGGGTCTAGGGCCATTGGGCCATGGGTTACTTGGAAGCTCTCTTGACTTAGCAAGTCCACTTAGTATCCCTTAGAAACCCTCTTATAATCCCTGTAACAAACCTTACTGACCCCACTTACTGTGTCAAAAGAGCTTCCGAGTAGTGAAGCTGAAACTGACGGCTCCTGCTGGCCCCGTGGAGCAGCCAGTCTTCATCCGTAAAGAGCACATCTCCTTGGCAGCAAAGTCGGTGGTGGACAACTTCTCAAATCATTATGCGTGGCGTATGTTTCTAAAGTTTTGCTCCACATGTACCCATATGGCGGATTTGGGGCCAGCTCCAGTTCCCTACAATGCTGGGACCGAAGTTGGAACGCGAGGGTTCAGGGTTACGGTTTAGAGTCTAGGGTTTAGGGATAGTAAACCGCGGCCGGTTGAGTGTCGGTTGAACACGGCGGACTACCGTCGCACGGGACATCTCACACACACATACACACACACACACACACACACACACACACCTTGTGATCCAATGGGCCCCCTAGACTGCAGTCCCTGAGACAGTGCATTGGGCACCAAACTTCAGCAAGCCGCGGCCCTCTTTGTCCAGCATCGCCGCCATGTCCGCCAAGATGTTGCGCTCGTGGCGGATAAGAGCGGCATCGGCATCCTTGCTCAAGCCCCCCCCCAATGTTTAGGGTCGCAGGCCTTATGGCCTTTGGGCTTAGTGTCTGGGATTCAGGGAGATACGGCCGAAAACTTGACAGTTTTCTCCCTCTCCCCCAATTGATGTATCACGCCGTCGGTCTTCAGACTGCAGCCCGTCACTCTCTCCCCTGGCAGTGTAAGGCCAAGGCCAGGAGCATCACGTGGCTGAAGCTCTGCGGACTCATCAAGTACTCCTGCCATCAGCCGCACTGACCGGCTTGGGGACGAATCCGAACGAGGCCATAGTCACCAGGGGGTTTACGAGCCGGGGTCCTTTTTTGAGGATATCCTAGGATTTGCGGGTCTATCTAAGGGGTTTCGGGTGTCGTGCTAATGTAGGCGAGACATAGGAAGATGATGACAGGCGCCATGAATTTGGTTTTTGGCAACAGAGATGGCTGCAGAGATACAGCTGCTGTCGTGGGGTCGAACGTCACGGGATGGGGAAGTGAATGCTTCGAGCAAAAAGCAACCTTTCTTGAGGGTCCGAGCCGTGTTGCGGCCGGCTGTGTCCAGAGCATGCAGCTGCAGACTTGTCGTGCATTCTGGCGCGTCCGTGTATCCCACACCAAGAAGTGTGCGGGACAAGTCACAAACTAAAGATTCGCTTCGTTGCACAACGAAAGCCTTACGAGAAAAAAAGCTGTGCGACTTCGGGGGAAGTGCCCATCCGAAGTATGGGCCCTTAATTTGGGTCCCTTGTCATTTTTCTCCTTTATTCGCTCGATATAAACATCACCCACACTTCGGATCCCTCACAGGGCTTAGGGGTTTCTGCCTGATCCGGTAGAAGCTTGACCCTGATCAGTAACACACACTACTCTCGCGTGTTTCCTCAAGACTATGTTAAGGACGGTCCAGGGATACCCCTGCTCGACGACTGAGATCAAGGGGCGGGAAAGCGAAACCCACCGCGACATGATCAACCCTCCTAAACCCTGAACATCTGCGGCTGACTTGGAGGTTCATGGAACTTATTAACCAATTATACCTGTACCTTTTACCCACTTACAAGCCCCTCACGTGCCCTAATCTGGTCATAAGTACAGTTATAAGTACAGTCATAATTGATTAACAAGTACCATGAACCTCCAAGTAACCCTAAACCCTAAACCCTAAACCCTAAACCCTAAACCCTCAAACCCTAAACCCTAAACCCTAAAGGGTTTACGGTTTAGGGTTGAGGCATCCTGCAGCATCCGGTGCTTCTCCCAGTTGAAGTTCTCGCGCTCGAACCGCTTCGTGCATTCCTACGGGCTTGCCACCATGCCCAGGGGCTTAGGGTGTAGGGTTTAGGGTTTAGGGTTTAGGGTTTAGGGTTCAGGGTTTAGGGGTTAGGGTGCGTAGCGAGCTGCATGCCGGTGTGTATCCTTACCCCACCCCACACTCTACTTGTCAGTGTTGGGGCGTGCAAGGGGTGGGTTAAGGGTTTAGGGTTTCGGGCTTTGGGTTTGCTACTGCGTTTTTGGGTTCCGGGCTTGGGGCTTGGGATTTAAGGCTGAAGGATAGGGTTTAGGGCTTTGGGTAGTGGCTTCGGGATTAAGGCAACAGAGTAGGAGGCCTCTTTTCCTTGTTTTTTTCGGTTGGTTTTCTGTTTTCTTGTTTGCGTCTCACAAAGAGCTTTGATGGTAAGATTGTTGCAGCGGCTACGTTTAAAGCAGTAAACCCAAGTATAACTCGAATTCAATGTTTTGAAGCCCATTGCAGGGGCTTGGATGGTTTCATTGTTGGTGTAGTTTAGGGCTACGTCGTTTACCGTAAACCCTAAACACCCTGGGTTTGCGGGTGTGACCGTCCCGGGGAAAGCAACGAGAGCCGCCTTCCGCGTGCCCAGGGGCCGCACAGATGTTTAGCGCCACCAGAAAACCCAAGGGGTTTAGGGTTTAGGGTATAGGGTTCAAGGTTTAAGGATTGGGGCTTGGGTTTCCGAGCTTAGGCCCTAAACAAAACCCCAAAGAACCCAATACCCCTTGAATAAGGAACATACCGTTAAAAATCATATCGAGGATCCCTTTATGATCTAAGGCATATTCCTTTTTGTTTAAGGGATCTTGGGCTCTCTGGGACCCTGAACTCCAACCCTCTACTTGGAGGTTCATGGTCCTGACTAACTAATGATAACTGTACTTACAACCCACTTATAAGCCGCTTAATATAAGTTATAAGTACAGTTATAATTTGCTAATAAGTACCATGAACCTCCAAGTAGATTCTACTACCCCCTAGGTTCCCCCCTAAATAACCTTAACTAAGCTGAATTACCCCTAAATAGGAGCGACGGAGGCGTCCTTCTCCGAGAGGGCACCGCACTGCCGCTGCTGCCAGGGCTGCAGCTGCGGCTTGCTCGGCAGCCACCTGACAAGCCAACCCTAAGGGTGTCGAGGGTTTGGGGCTTAGGGTTTAGGGTTTAGGGTTTAGGGTTTTTAGGGCTTAGGGTTTAGGGCTTAGGGTTTCGGGCTCAGGGTTTCGGATCCTTCGGTTTGGGTTCAGGGTTTAGGGCCGAGGGTCAGAAGGGTCCTAAACCTTAGACTGCCCCCCCAAGACCCACAAGCCCCAAGGCCCATCTCGACTTCACCAAAGGGCACCTGATCACCAGGCAGAGGCCGTGCAGCCGGGCGTGGTGCCGATTGGTGGCAAGGATGGCGCGCAACCTTTGGTTCAGGGCTTAGGGCTTAGGGCTTAGGGCTTAGGGCTTAGGGCTTAGGGCTTAGGGCTTAGGGCTTAGGGCTTAGGGCTTAGGGCTTAGGGCTTAGGGTTTAGGGTTTAGGGTTTAGGGTTTAGGGTTTAGGGTTTAGGGTTTAGGGTTTAGGGTTTAGGGAGGGGTTCAGGGCTTGGAGCGTTTGAGGGGCCCGACAGGGTGAACGTAGGTACGCGTCGGCATCTGCATACCTGCGCAGATGCGCGTATGTTCAGCTATACTTTCCCAGCATGCAGCTGTCTTCGACTTGCATTTCCAAAAAACTCATGCAGTTCAACTCCGTCTGCGATTATGCTCCATTCTGGCAGGGCTTTCGGGGTTTCGCGGCTGAAGTGTTGAGGTCTGTCCCTGGCTTACGGGGCCCATAGCGCAGGAATGTTTGCCAAAAGGTTTCGTCAAGGTTTCGGGCCTGGGGTTTAGGGTTAAAATTCTAGGGTTTAGGGGGACCTAGAATGGACCTCTTCCAGGACCCAACGCAAGCCTGAATCTCAGAATACGGGAGCCAAAGGGATTTCCCAATATGATCCCCTCGTGCTCCGTGTGCAAGGTGGGATACAACTCACCCAAGTACCCATTCTGTGTTCTTGTCAGCTTGTATGGTACAAGGATTTGGTTGGTGGAGCACGTGCCGAATTCGTGGTGTGCACTGCTCACTGAGTTACAGGGCAATTCCTTGTTCGGGCTGACGTTGGAACGTTCTACCGCCTTCAAATACCAGTCGCCTTACCGCATTACAGCCATACGGGCAGGTAAAGCTGAAACATCCACGACCCGGATGACAGAGGAACGGCGGGCAAGTTTCCTCTCGGGAGGGAGGGCGTGGAACTTTCCCAAAGGAAGGCTTCACCACGGGTAAGGCAGACATCTATTCTGTTTTCTTAACGTGTGCAAGTCCACACACCTGCAAACAAGACATGCTGACCACATCATTCACAAGTCAAAGTAAATGAACTGCGTGACCTTTACAAGGAATCACACTTTCTAGCCCATCAAACTTAAAATCCAAACAAAGAAAATCGAACAGGAAATGCGCGTGAATGGAGTAGCGAACACCACGCAAAAGCCCGTCAACCATGCTCCAGTACACCCAAACCCTAAACCCTAAGCCCTAAACCCTCAACCCTAAACCCTAAACCCACTTAGAATAGAACAAGCAGCTTGAGAGTAGCTCAACCTCCTAACCCCTAGGCCGCAACCCCAAACAAAGCACACCTCTACTCCCCAGAGAGCCCAAAACCCGTTAATTAAGGAATATTCCTTATATAAGGACCCCTTGATGATTTAAGGTACACTCCTTAATATAGGGCAAAAAAAGGGCTCTCTGGGTACTTCTCAGAGAGCGGCCACCGCGGCCGCGCCGACGCCGTGCCCCAAAGCGGCCCTAGCACACTGCGGCAGTCCGAAATGTAGGGTTTAGGGTTTAGAGTTTAGGGTTTAGAGTTGAGGGTTTAGGGTTTAGGGTTTAGGGTTTAGGGTTTCGGGTTTTGGGTTTGGGGTTTCGGGTTTAGGCTTTAGGGTTTAGGGTTTAGGGTTTAGGGTGTCTCAATTCAAAGGGCCCGACTTGTGGAGCCCCGTCCCCTTGACCTTTGCGTGGTGAGGGCGGCTAGGGACTCCTTGCTTTCTGATCGTGCTCATGTATATCATTCTTGTTGACAGTGGCGCCCTAGCATCATCTGGTGTTGGGGGTTGGCAGGCGCCTTCGCCCCTTGGCGTTGCAAGGGATGATGTACAGCACTGATTCATGATGAAGTCTTTGAAACGCTGAGGACAAAAAGCAGGTCCTTGGAGCAGCAGTCTGAGGTTTGGTGTTGGGGGTTGGCAGGCGCCTTCGCCCCCTATTGCATTGCATGTCGAGGTCTCTGAAATGTGGAGCAGCCGTTGCGGGGGATGCAAGGGCCTTTCAGGCAGAGGGGCCTCCCAGGCCCAGGCAGGGGTCCTGGCAGCCCCCCTGATCCAAAAAACACGGTAGGGAACCTTGGACAAGCTTAGCGAGCCTTAGGGCCTGTAGTGGGGAGTCCTAAGGAACCTTGGGCTAGACACCCGTTCTTCCTGAGGCCCCGAGAAAGTAAGCGGGGCCTCTTGTGGCTTGCTTGAAATCCTACAGGGAAGAACGGTCTCGGGTCTATAGGGTTTAGGGTTTAGGGTCTAGGGTTTAGGGTCTAGGGTTTAGGGTTCAGGGTTCAGGGTTTAGGGTTTAGGGTTTAGGGTTTTGGGTTTAGGGGTTTAGGGGTTTAGGGTTTAGGCTCCAGTGGCTCTGATCTGCAAAATCCTTCCAATTCCTTCGCTCGCCTGCTTCCATGAAGACGGGCTGGAGGATCAGCATGCCACCATGGGCCTTGCACGTCGTACTTGGAAGCTTCTTTGACGTGGTCAGTCCTACTGAGCATCCCCTAGAAAACCCTCTTAGAATCCCCATAGCCCACCTTACTAACCCTACTTACTAAGTCAAAATGGCTTCCAAGCGTTCCGAAACCCCATGCCGCGCTACAACGAATCCCACAAGGATTTCGGCACACATTCTTCCAGATGATGCCTGCTCCAAGTCACTGCTAAGTCGGACGAGGCCCTTCAAAAACAAAGATTCGCAACAAAAAAGCAAAACAAAAAAAAACTGTGCTACACCTGTCCTAGAGGGTCAAGCAGGAGACAACAGAAAGCCTAAACATGGATGCCCGCCCTCCCAAGTAGATCGATTTCCCCCGTTTCAGGGAGGCCCCTGGAGCTTGCTGGCACCTGAAAACAAACCCAAGCTCTCAACATGTTGGGGTTTACGAAAATCAGGGACCCTGATATAAATCCACACATAGTAGGATTCCCTTACCATAAGGACCCCAATCAGGTACCGCCAACTCCGGAAACCCCCTCTCCAGAAAAAGGAGGAACCTCGAAACGACTTCCAGCCACCTCCTCACAGAAAGGGCTCGGACCCCCTCAGCCCCAAACCCGAATTCCTGTAACCCTAAACCCGACAGTAAACCCTAAACCCTCACCCTAAACCCTAAACCCTAAACCCGAAAACAGCAAGAAACCCCACCCCTGGTGCCTGCGGCCGCGCGTCGACCACCAGAAGGTCCTCCCTGACCAGCCACGAGGGGCGGGGACCGGCGGCCTCCCAGCTGAGTTTAGGGTTTTGGGTTTAGGGTTCAGGGTTTAGGGGTTGAGGGTTGAGGGTTTCGGGTTTAGGGTTTCGGGTTGAGGGTGTTTGATTGCGTTTGGTGTTTGAGGGTTTTTGGGTTTGGGGCTCTTTCTGGGGCGTTGGTGGGCTGAGGGTTTGAGGGCTTTAGGGGGCTTTTGGGGTTTTGGGGTTTGAGGGTTCTATGGTTTGAGGGCCTTGGGGTTGGAGGGTTTTATGGTTGAGGGCTTTGGGGTTTGAGGGCTTTATGGTTTGAGGGTTTTGGGGTTGTAGGTTCAGCATACCGTCCAATAACCAGAGATTTACAAAGGCTAAACTGTGCATGATTTTCACAAAAGAAGCTTACAGTTCAACCATTGGGCGTGTGAGTCGGGGGCTCGGGGCCTTCAGGGGGCAGGTAGAGAAGGGTGGGATCCAGGGTTGAGGGTCCTAAGGTTTTAGGGTTCAGGGTTGAGGGTTCAGGGTTTAGGGAGTTACTTGCATAAGACTTTCCGCTTCTTCAAGAACCCTCCAGCCCCAAAGAGCCTGGGGAAGGCCCTCACTGCCCGCGTTGAGAAGGTAGTCCGGGTGGAGGAGGAGGGACTGAGGCCTCGGAAGAAAGGCCTTCCGAGGCCCCACACAAATTGACTTCAAAGTAGGTTTTAGGGTTTGGGGTGTGGGGTCTGGGGTGTTGGGGGTTTTGGGGGTTTGGGGGTTTGGGGGGTTTAGGGATTGGGCGAGTTCTGCGGATGAGGGCCCGAAGCCCTTTGACCCTCAACTTTCGACAGCGCCAGACTCGAAGCAATGACCCCCCCCAAATGCACCCAAACCGTTGCCGTGCGCCTTTAAACCCGAAACCCGAAACCCTAAACCCTCAACCCCCAACCCTCAACCCTCAACCCTACCTTAACTTAATGATTCAGGGTACGGTCCTCGCGGAGGGCCTGAACCCTCAACCCTAAACCCTAGAACCCGTAAGTCCCAGCTGAGGGGCGCCGGGCGATGGCAGCGCGCAGCTTCCGAAGGCCCAGAGAAGTCGAAGCTGGTCGGGCCTGGCAGTGGTCGGGTTTGGGGTTTGGGGATTAGGCTTTAGGCTTTAGAGTTTAGTGTTTAAGGTTTAGGGTTTAGGGCTTAGGGCTTGGGGTTTGTGGTTTAGGGCTTTAGGGTTTGGGGTTTGGGGTGTAGGGCTTGGGGTTTGGGGCTTAGGGTGTTGGGGTTTTGGGCTTGGGGCGTAGAGGTTTCGGGGTTTGGAGCTTAGCGTTTAGGGTTTGGCGTTTGGGGATTAGGTTTGAGGCTTGGGGTTTGGGGATTAGGGTTTAGGGGTTTGGGGTTTAGGGTTTAGGTTTGGCGTTTGGGGTTCAGGGATTTGGGGGTTTGGGGGTTTGGGCTTGGGGTTTGGGGGTTTGGAGGTTTTGGAGGTTTGGGGTTTGGGGTTCAGGGGGTTTTGTGGCTTGGGGTTTGGGGTTTGGGGGTTTGGGGGTTAGGGGTTCGGGGTTTGGGCGTTTGGGGTATGGGGCCAAACCCCCAGCCCTAAACCCCACACACGCCTGAACAACCTCAAAAGCCTGTGTTGCTAAACCCAAGACCCGGTGGAGCCACTACCTCAAGCCCAACTCCAAAAGGTCCCTCACAGTGAAGTACAAACTTGGGGGGGTAGAATCCCTTTGTCAAGTACCTAGGGCACTAAAGATTAAGGTTTGGGATTATAAGGGAAATATAGTACCCCAAAAAGGATAAAGTTTGCCTAGTCTACAACTAAGTCAAATCCCTAGAATCTCCAAAGAAGGCCTTCGAGCAAAGGAGGCTCACCTCGGCACCGCTCAGAGGGGTTGGGCTCAGAGTCGTTTAGGGTTTAGGGTTTAGGGTTTAGGGTTTAGGGTTTAGGGTTTAGGGTTTAGGGGTTTAGGGGTTTAGGGTTTAGGGCTGCGGGTTTGGGGGTTTTTGGCTGTTGGGTTTCCCACATTCCGGAGGAAGCCGCATGGCTTCAACCTTTGCGCGTCCTGATTCCAAGGCTTAAGCTTGGGATGATTTCGGGACGACCTACTCGACTACTAAGAACCCGGCGACTTCTCTCTCGTCCGAAGATCCAAGACTGAAATGACAACCGGACCTGCTCAGTGGGAGCTAGTCTTGCCTTACACTAAACAGATCCCAATCAGCCGCCAACATCTTCGACACCCTTAACCCCAAGCCCTGAGCTTGCAATCTGTTTAAGGGTTTAACTAGGGTCGTATAAAAATAAATGTATATATATATATACTCTACCCACCCCCTAGATTCCGCAACAAAAGCCAAAGAAATGCATTTCGGGCGGTCTCTGCCCTACTACGTGAGCCCCGCAGATCCCTATACATTGTTGCACAAAACTTCTCAAAAAAAATTGCTCGAAATTGAGTCACTTCCCTAAACCCTACACCCTAAACCCCAAACCCTAAACCCCAAACCCTAAACCCCAAACCCTAAACCCTAAACCCTAAACCCCAAACCCTAAACCCCAAACCCTAAACCCCAAACCCTAAAGCCCAGAGTGGGACCGCACGATCCCCCATCATGCGAGCTGCTGGGAATGGACAGCCTCGACTCCGGCCGGCCATCCTGGCGGAGGAAGCAACACGCCGACCCCAAACCCCAAACCCTGCTGAAAGGGTTTAGGGTTTGGGGTTTGGGGTTTGGGGTTTAGGGTTTAGGGTTCAGGGTTTAGGGTTTAGGGTGTAGGATTTAGAGTTTAGGGTTTGGGTTTGGGCAGCGGCACAGCGGCAGTGTCCTTGTACCACACGCAGCCATGGCAGGTCGTGTCGGGCGGGCGGTCCGCAAAAGTGGAACACAGCGCCCGATCGGCGGCAGAGATGTCGGCATGGTACAGCTCCTTGAGGGTTGGAGTTTGACGTTTCCCCCCTATACCAACAGTCCTTCAGAGGGATTTGAGCACCCCCTGTTGTAATCCCTATTAAGGACTGTTAGTTTCAGGGGAACGTCCCGAGTTGGAATGACTGAGCTGGGTTCCCCCCCCCCACCCCCCGGTTTCTGTCGAAGGGCCCATGTGACAGCGTAATGACAAGGAGCTCGACAGGCCGGCAAACCGTCCAAGTAAACTTGCGCACCGGTTAAGTTTAGTCTCCCGCTATGCTTCGACTAGCCTTCTAAACTGCTTTAAGCGCCTGCCTCCCGGGCAAATCCCCCGTAAATCCCCTCCCTAGATCCCGCCTAAAACCCCCTGAATCCACCCCCTAAATCCACCCCCTAACTCCACCCCCAAATCCCCGCAAACCCCGCCCCCGCCCCCCCCTGGTGCCCAGTCCTTGTGGTTGTGCTGGAAGGCGGCCGAAGGATTCAAGGCCGGCCACTGGGCCGCGAAGGCACTGAGCTTCTCCGGGTCTGTGGGGACGTCCGAGAACCTGGTTGAGAGTTTAGGGTCTAAGGTTGAGGGTGTGAAGGGCTTAGTGTTTAAGGTTGAGGGTGTAGGATTTAGGGTTTAGGGTGTAGGGTTTATGGTTTAGGGCTTAGGGTTCGGGGCAATTGGTCTCAGGAGGGAGTTGAGGGCCGATCGTATAGTGCGTAGGATGGAGACCCTCACGCCAGAAGCCCAAGTCCCTACACCCTAGCCAACACCATTTTGACTTTGAAGCCCGCACCCCGAACCTGCAAGTGAGGAAAATGGTAGCGGCTGCCGAAACCTTAAACCCCAAACCTGAACTCATTTGGTGGGGTGTAAATGGTTTCGGGCTTAGCATAGCAAGCTGCTTCTGGGCACTCTCCTCCCAGGGGTAGACGGTCCAGCCTCTGTCAGGGTTGAGGGATTTGGGCTTCGGGGTTTACAGGCTCAGGGATCAGGAGCTGAGGCTGTTGGAGGTTTAGGGCTTCGGGCAGTGGACTCCTTCAGTGAGGGCCTGCCTGGCAACGGCACCTACTGGCATAGCATGGATGTTTTGCCCTACAATGATATAGCGATGACCGAGGGAGAAAGAACGCAAGTGTTTAAGGCCCTTGTAGCAACCAAGGGGTACAGTTCCAATCTCAACGCCCATGTACCTGATGAGGAGGAGAGGGGACGGGACGCCAAATCTCTGGCAAGTCCGTGTCCAAAACATGAAAGCTAATTCTCACCCTTAGACCCAAAGCCTTCATCCCTGAACCCAAAACCTACAACCCTAAACCCTAAACCCTAAACCCTAAACCCTAAACCCTAAACCCTAAACCCTAAACCCTAAACCCTAAACCCTAAACCCTACCTCCCCCACCCTCCACACCCCCCACCCCCGAGCCTTGCAGGTATATGCAGCATTATATGCAAAATCAACGGCCTCCCACCCGAGCCAGTCCCCTGGAGGTTCATGGTACTTAATAACCAACTATAGCTGTACTTAGAACTACTTATAACCCACTTATAAGCCCCTTAAGTGCCCTAATATTGCTATGAGTACAGTCATAAATACAGCTAGCCTAAATCGAAAACCCTAAACCCCTTATAAGTACAGTTGTAATTGGCTAACAAGCACCATGAACCTCCCCCCACAGCAAAGCACCTCGCGCTGCCAGCGCCACGGCCATGGCGAAGTCGCTGCTCATCGTCTTGTCCACGCCCTCCCGCGAAGGGGTTCAGGGTTTAGGGTTAAGGGTTTAGGGTTCAGGGTTCAGGGTTCAGGGTTTAGGGTTCAGGGGTTTAGGGTTTAGGGTTTAGGGTTGTTTTTAGGGTTTTGAGTTTAGGGTTTAGGGTTTAGGGTTTAGGGTTGAGGGTTGAGGGTTCCAAGTGTAGGCTTAGGGTTTAGGGTTTAGGGTTTAGGGTTTAGGGTTTAGAGTTTAGGGTTTAGGGTTTCAGGGTTTTAGGGTTTAGGGGTTTAGGGTTTAGGGTGTTTAGGGTTTAGGGTTTAGTTTTAGGGTGTAGGCTCAGGGTTTAGGGTTTAGGGTTTAGGGTTTAGGGTTTAGGGTTTAGGGTTTAGGGTTCGCGACATGTCCGAAACGTCTCTGCTCAAAATTCCCAGCCCATAGACCCCAGGGGTTTAGTGTTTAGGGCAAGGTTTAGGGCTGCCCTGAAGCCCTAGGCCTTATAAAAGCCCTAGACTTATCAACTGTTGAACCTTGTCGGCCGCTTGTGAGGTTATGAGCATTTGAACCACAAAGATATAGGGGAGAGCCAGCAGAGGTTTGGGGATTAGGATGGCGAGTTCAGTTGCAGGAAAGGCTACACCCTGAAAGCCAACCCCGAAACCTCAAACCCCGAACCCTAGACCTGAAAGCCCTAAGGGTCCATGTCCCCATATAGTATTTACTTGGGCCCTAAAGCTACTTTATAGGAACCCCGTTCAGGCCCAAGTATATACTGAACCCTCAGCAGCTCTCAGAAAATGCTCTGGAGGTGATGGCCTCGTGAGCCTGCAGACGCCGCCAGTCAATGCTCCTGGGCTGTTACGGGGGCTTAGGAGGTTTGGGGTTTGGGGTTTAGGGCATAGGGGTTCAGGTTTTAGGGCCGAAGGGACGTTGAGGGTTTAGGAGCCTCCGTTCGCAAACCTGAATTTGGAACTTGGCGCTCAGAAGCACCGCCACATTCATCCCCGCACCTTCCACGTTTCAATTGAAAACTGGAACCCGCGGAGCTGCGAGGGTGTGCGGTTTTGGCTTTCTATGGTTTGGGGCTTAGGGTTTCTAGGGCTTCTAGGGCTTCAGGGATCATAGTCAGAAGAGGCTTGTGAGGATTCTCGGGCTAGGAGAGCTTGGAGGGCTTAGAGTTCGTACAGACATGTATGCACGCATGTCAACGCAACAGTACATGGCAAAATGAGCCCGTGCGCAGATGTGCATGAGTCTATCTATGCATATATGTATATATGCATATACGTATAGAGGTATATATGTATACATGTATATATGTAGATATGTATACATGCAAATATGTACACATGTACATATGTATACATGTACACATGTATCTATGTATACATATATATATATATATATACATATACATATTTACATATATATATGTATATGTATAGATGTATCCCTATCAGGTCCGCATATTTGCGTGACTTACAGGTTTCAGTGTTTAGGGCTGTGGGATTTGGGTGTACATCCTCTGAGCTGTTGGGCAACTGCTCGTTGATGTGAACAACCCTCTCTTCGGAAAAGCGTCAGGACATGCTCCGGTCGGAAAGCATCCAGAACTGCTTCGGTGCGGTAGTAGGAGCCTTGAGGGAGGACATGGCTCCAGCGCACCCCGTAACTCAGAAATTTCCCTAAACTCAGACGAGGGAACCCTATAATTGCACTGTATATTGGGCTCTGAGGCAGGGGTTCCTCTCTGGTGCCTCCACAGAGACCGAAGTGCGCCCAGGACACGTTGAAGCACGGGTTCCTCCCAGGGAGACGTGTGTCACAAGATGCCAGAGGCGGCCAACAAACTCCAAAGAGGGTGGGTGGCCTTATCGTCGTATAGTCGTAGTAGTCGGAGTAGCCATGGCAGCAGACCGCATCAGTAGTAGTAGTAGCAGTGGTAGTCGTCGACGGTAGTAGTGGTATCGGATGTGGTTGTAGTAGTGGTAGTAGCAGCACGTCGCAGAAGTAGAACTAGCAGTGGTAGTAGCAACCGCAGCAATAATCACAGCCAAATATATCAGAGTACGAGTAGCAATCGCAATCGTAACGCTTCTGGTAGTCATAGCAAAGTATCAAAGTGCAAAGGTACAAGGAGTAAAAACAAAAGATATGAAAGCAAAACAGCAATGCATACACGCAAAGAGTCATAAAGGTATGAAAACATAGGCGTATGAAAGTATAAGACTACGAGAGGATATGTTAAAGGCAAAACAGCATACTACTCATAAAATTAGAAGAATCAAATGGCAAAAGGACAAATTAAGAGAACAGTAAGATATAGAAGTATGAAAAACGATAGTTCTAATTACTAACAATCGTAGCAGTAGTACTAAAGTAATTAGCGATAGCTATAGCAATGGTAGATAATCGTACTAGCAATACTGATGATGACTGATAACAAACAAATAAAGACAAGGAATCGAATCAATATTATTATAGTCATAGACATGATCATGTAATAAGTAGCAGTAGTACAAGTAGTAGTAGTAGTAGTAGTAGTAGTAGTAGTCGTAGTCGTAGTCGTAGTCGTCGTAGTAGTAGTAGTAGTAGTAGTAGTAGTAGTAGTAGTGGTAGTAGTAGTAGTAGTACTTGCGGTACTAGCAGTAGTCGTCGTAGTAGTACTAGTAGTAGTAGTCGTAGTAGTAGTAGTAGTAGTAGTAGTTGTTGTTGTAGTAGTAGTAGTAGTACCAGTACTAGCAGCAGCAGCAGCAGCAGCAGCAGCAGCAGCAGCAGCAGCAGGAGCAGGAGTAGTAGTAGTAGTAGTAGTAGTAGTAGTAGTAGTAGCAGTAGTAGTAGTAGTAGTAGTAGTAGTAGTAGTATTAGTAGTAGTAGTAGTAGTAGTAGTAGTAGTAGTAGTAGTAGTAGTAGTAACAGCAGCAGCAGTAGCAGTAGCAGCAGGACCAGCAGTAACCCTTACCGTCACTGACAGAAATCAGGAGTAGCAATAACAATACCAATCGTAAAATGAATATTTGTGGTGGTGGCCACCGAGAATAGTGGGACTAATGAAGCTATTGCTAGTCATGATGATATACTGTGATGATAATGACTTGAGGGGCGGGCCGAAGCTAACGAAAGCTAGCCCACATTCGCGTGATTGCCGTGGCGACCATCGTGCGTGCCCCAACCCCCTTAAAACCCCGCTCCGACTTCTGGCTCCCGCACCTTAATCAGGTCTTTACGCAACGCTCGCCTCATGCCGCAATACACACCCGCCGCACCCGCCGCCCTACCAACTTCACCCGCGACCGGCCCACGCAACTACGCCACCACGCATTCTCAGATGCCTTTGCTGGAGTTTAAATCTGGATGGCGAGAGCTGGTCGTTTTACGTGCTTTTTCAATAGCGTGTTTCGGATATCTCTTTGTATCTAGAAGACTCCGTGATCTCTTTGAGCACATGTTTGTGCGTCTTTTTCTGTCAAAGCTTACTAAAACAGACAACAAATTCAAGCGTAGTTACACTGGCTTTCTTGATAATAGTGTTGAGAATTAGAACAGCTATTACACTATTTTGTGATGAGGCAGCAAGGATACTGATACCACTACCAGTACCTCTATGACAACGAACTTTTTGAACTGTACTAAACGGGGCCCATAAGGTTCCTCTGACTGTCATGTTTCCATGCGTCAACACTTCAACCTTCCCCTAAAGCCCCCCCAGGTCTTGGGACCCCAAAATCCCGAAATCCCGCCCTGCAATAGTTTAATTACAGGTTGAGGTTTCAGGGCTTCGAGCTCACCACCGAGAGGGGATCCTCTGGCGACCCAGCCGTTCCAGGTACGCCTTGGTCTCCAGGCTCATGATCGGGTTGAAATTGTCGTGCACGCCCCCGGCCTGCGAGCGCGCGGGTGCTTCTGGCTTGCGGCTGACTAGGACTGGAGTTTTCCTGGGCAGAACTCTGCCGATTTGGGGGGTTTCCGAGACTAGGGGTACCCTACGGGGGTCCTTACGTTAAGGGGATCCTACTCATTCGGGGTCTCTATTCGGGCTCCCTGATTTTCGTAAACCCCCATTTAGGGTGTGGGGGCATTGGGGCTGGAGAAAGAGGGCTGTCTTGGGCTTGCGTCATTTTGTGCCCCACACACACATGCGCCACACGCTCCTGCCACTCCTGAGGCCCGGGCATCGTACGGAAAATCGTGTCGGTGGCGCCGGGTGATCTTCACATCCGGCTCGAGGTAGATGATGTACCTTCGTTTAGGGCCGAACCCTGTTACGCAGAAAACTCAAAGAAACCAACGGGGGTTTTGTTGCCCTGGGATAAGGCGCGGAAAGATGAAAAAGCGGGCTTCCCGACAAGCAGGCCTCAGCATGAAAATCGCTGGAACCCACGCTGTTTTTCAGCCGGCCCCAGTCGGTGCAGAAGGTACCACATCGTCCGTACACCAGGAACGGGCCAAAAGGCCCATGCATGAGGGCCATCTTGCGAAACCGCCTTTCTTCCAGCACTCGGCATGTTGCTCTGGAATCTGGGAGATCATTGCTTGTTCTATCTCTGTCGGCCAATCAATTTCACATGACAAAGTGCTCTCTGTTTATGAGCCGTCCTCATAAGAATGGCGCCAATGCCATCATTTGGGAGCGCGCACTGGCCGCATCCCTGCCCACCCCAGTACAAGCAAACGATATGTGGCTGGCATCTGCGGTTGACAGACTTGACGACTCACATCAATGAGCCCTCTGAAGTACGAGCTGTCACAAGTTTCATCTTTCTGCCTCGCCCCAAGCCCTCCGTTCCCCCCCGCTCAGGCGCCAAGCGGCTGGGTTTGCAACAGCTCGGCAGCCCGCCGCATGCGTGCGAACCACGAGTGTGGGTTCCAGCGGCTGTTCTCGCCAGGCACGCGCTCGAAGGTGCACCGGTACCTGCGCAGGAATCAAGGGTAACTCTCACACCCTAAACCGGCGGAGGGTTTTTTTTTTGCAAAGGTGTGGCTCGGCCCTGTCCTCTTGCAAAGGTGTGGCTCGGTAACCCCCTTCCCCTCCACTTCCCCCCCCCCCCCCCCCCCCCCCCTCCACCCCCCCCCCCCCCCCCCCCCCCCCCCCCCCCCCCCCCCCCCCCCCCCCCCCCCCCCCCCCCCCCCCCCCCCCCCCCCCCCCCCCCCCCCCCCCCCCCACCCACACCCCCCCCCCCCCCCCCCCCCCCCCCCCCCCCCCCCCCCCCCCCCCCCCCCCCCCCCCCCCCCCCCCCCCCCCCCCCCCCCCCCCCCCCCCCCCCCCCCCCCCCCCCACCCCCCCCCCCACCCCCTCCCCACCCCCCCACCCCCCCCCCCCCCCACCCCCCCCCCACCCCCCCCCCCCCCCCCCCCCCCCCCCCCCCCCCCCCCCCCCCCCCCACCCCCCTCCCCACTCCCCCCCACCCCCCACTCTCACCACCCCGACTCCCTCCCCCTTATTTGCAAACTCAATGCTTGCCTCTAGGTTTCAAAAAAACTCATATGCTTTGAAACAAGCTTGCACGGCTTTCAGAAGCGGGGGGTTGGGGGGGGCGCAGCCCCCCCCCATTTGAAAACTCAATGCTTGCATCATGGGTTTCAAAAAGACTCTTATGCTTTGATGCAAGCTTGCACGGCTTAAAAAAGCGGGGGGGTTGGGGGGGCGCAGCCCCCCCCATTTGCAAACTCAATGCTTGCATCATGGGTTCCAACACCGGGGGGGGCCATTAGCCCCCCCCATTTGCAAACTCAATGCTTGCATCATGGGTTTCAACAAGACTCATATGCTTTGACGCAAGCTTGCACGGCTCAAAAAAAGCGGGGGGGTTGGGGGGGGCGCAGCCCCCCCATTTGCAAACTCAATGCTTGCATCATGGGTTTCAACAAGAATCATATGCTTTGACGCAAGCTTGCACGGCTCAAAAAAAGCGGGGGGGTTGGGGGGGGCGCAGCCCCCCCCATTTGCAAACTCAATGCTTGCATCATGGGTTTCAACAAGACTCATATGCTTTGACGCAAGCTTGCACGGCTTAAAAAAGCGGGGGGGGTTGGGGGGGCGCAGCCATTTGCAAACTCAATGCTTGCGCATACTACATATATACACTCCACGTATTTCTACCAGCTACAGCTACATCGCGGTAAAAAGAATCTTTGCGACTGGGGAGAACAGGGAAATCAAAACGAAGTCGGCACCCAAGCCAGGCCAAGCCGAGCCAAGCCACGCCGAGCCAAGCCAAGCCAAGCCAGCCAGGCCAAGCCAAGCCGAGCCGAGCCCGCCCGAGCCAAGCCAAGCCAAGGAGCCAAGCCAACGAAAGCCAAGCCGAGCCAAGCCAAGCCAGAGGACAAGCCGAGCCAAGCCAAGCCAAGCCCAGCCGAGCCCAGCCAAGCCAAGCCGAGCCAAGCCAACCAAAGCCAAGCCAAGCCAGACAAGCCGAGCCAAGCCAGGTCAGAGGACACGCCCAGCCAAGCCAAGCCAAGCCACACCTTTGCAAGGGGACAGGGCCGAGCCACACCTTTGCAAAAAGAAAAACCCGGACCCCCCTAAACCCTAAACCCTAAACCCCAAACCCTAAACGCCCCAAACCAAAAACTGAAGCCTGAACTGTGCAAGAGTTCTGCCACCCTGCAAAGCTCTGAGCACGAAGCACCCCCACGGCATAGGACCCCCTACGACACCACCATGAACACGTTGGGGAGGCCCCCGAACCCAATACTCACCCGCGCACAACACAAGCACACTTTTTTTTCACCCGAAACCCAAGGCCCCCCTTGCATGATATGCCCAAGACCTCGAAACCTAGGCTGCCTAGGGCCACGGGCCCATCGGCGTTGTGCAAATCCCGTACAGCTGTCAGTACTTGGAGGCTCATGGTACTTATTAAACAACTTGAACTGTACTTCTAACCCACTTATCAGCCCCTTAAGTGCCCTAATATGGCTACAAGTACAGTTATAAGTACAATCTTAATTGGGTTACTAAGTACCATAAACCTCCAAGCGTCAGTTCTGGTACCGCTATACTTGGTTAGTAAGTACCATGAACCTCCAAGCAAGCTTGACCCGAGGGTGTTTTTGGCGATCCCCGAGTCCATCGAGCGCATGCTTCTGCGCAGCCGCAGTGTGGTCTCTAAACCCTAAACCCCAAACCCAAACCCTAAACCCTAAGTTCTAAACCCCAAACCCTAAACCCTAAATCCTAACCCTAAACCCTAAATCCTAAACCCCAAACCCTAAACCCTAAACCCTAAACCCTCCGTCGCCGCGCCTCGTTTGCCTGCAAAGGCCACCGAAGTCCACAGAGCCGCCATCCTCGGGGGCATAGGGGTTGAGGGCTTCAGGGGTTAGCTTTAGGGTTTAGGGTTTAGGGTTTAGGGTTCAGGGTTTAGGGTTTAGGGTTTAGGGTTTAGGGTTTCGGGTTTAGGGTTTAGGGTTTTGAGGCCTTAGGGTCTTGAGGGTTTGGGGGAGCGCCTGCAGCACGTAGATGGGCGATTCCGGGTAGAACTGCCTGTGCAGGATGTCCGAGTTTTGTTGAGGGCTTGGGGCCGAAGTTTAGGGTTTAAGGTTTTCGGGTTAGGGTTTAGGGAGCTTGGGGGTTTGATGGGCGTTTGGGGATTCGAGATTTTAGGGCTGAGATGGGCCTGACGCTCAGTTTTGCTACTGACACGCCCCCCTCTGGAGAAATGGCAGAGCATTGGCGTTGGGAAACCCTCCGTGGTCACAAGCCGCACTTCCGAGTGCGCAACTCCATGGTGCCCACCTAAATTCCAAGGCCCACTGGGAACTTTGCAAAAACTCCCCGAAGACTTGGCCTCGCGGAGCGGAGCACGGCCACAACCCCCTCCACCTGGTCGTGGACCGGGAAGTAGAAGCCCACCTTTTCAGGCGCGTCCAAGGCTTGTAGAGACCCAGTCGGACACACCGAAGCCCCAAAGCCTCGTAAACCCTGAACCTTGGGATTTTCACTCCCTGTACTAAGAGTCCTGGATATCACAAGGGGGTACCATAATCCCTATGACTGTTAGTATAAGGGGGAACATCCCCACCTAAACCCTAGAATGCACCCGAGACCCGAACGAACCCTACCCCTGCGGGTTCGTCTGCTTTGGCGCCTGCGCCGGCACAGCAACATCTTGCCGGAAGGCGGCTTGGGCGCTAACAGAGGTCATCACGGCGGTCCTGGCTGAATCTTGAAGTCTAGGGCTAGGGCTGGGGCATGGGTTTGTGGGATCGGGCACTTCGTGATAAAGCCACTGATAAAACAGGAAGCCCCCAAAGAGGACCCAAATGACCCTAACTCACGCTGACCCAGAATAACCCTGCATCATGATAAAAGCAACACCAAACATACAGAACTGGCAAGCTGAGAAGCACGACAGCAACATGACCAAGCACCTAAAACCACGAAGCTGTTAAATCACAAAGCCATGAACCCGGAACCCTAAACCCTAAACCCTAAACCCTAAACCCTACACCCTAAACCCTAGCCCTAAACCCTAAACCTTAGCCAGATACGGAAAGAATCAGTCCAAGCCGGCGGCTCGGTTCATGGTTGAAAGTAAGAAGCCACCAGCGCTTCGCTCAAGTCCCTAGGGCTTTCTGGGTTGCGGAGGTAAGGGCGAAAAAGGTTTGAGCTTCAGGGCTCTGGGTGGGGTTTGGGGTTTTGGGGCTTGGGGTTTGAGGTTTGGGGCTTGGAGTTTGGGCCTGCCAAACCCGAAACCGCAAGCCCTCAGCCCTGTAAACCCTAAGTCCAAAACCCTAAACCCGAAACCTGAAACCCTAAACCCTAAACCCTAAAGCCTAAACCCTAAACCCTAAACCCCAAACCAAAGCCCGCAGAAAGGTCCTCGAACTCTCCGGGCTCTTCGGCCTCGCCTGGCTCTTCAGGCACTCCTCAGGGTCGGAGCCGGGCCTGCACCACGCAAGAGATGTTTGGGATCTAGGGATGTAGGATTTAGGGTGTAGGGCTTCGGGTTTAGGAATTTCGGGTTTTAGGGATTTAGGGTTTAGGGTGTAGGGCTTCGGGTTTAAGAATTTAGGGTTTTAGGGTTTAGTTTAGGGTTTAGGGTTTGGGGTTTAGGGTTTAGGGTGTAGGGGTTCGGGTTGAGGAATTCAGGGTTTTAGGGCTTAAAGGCTTGGGGTTTAGGGTTTGGGGCTTCGGGCTGACGCGGACTTGGAGTCAATGCGATCCATGTAAAACGGCTGGTGCTTGTCATCAGCACATGCGGCCTGTCAGGCTTCCAGGTTGGTCATGGTGTCAATCAATGTTGTACAGTTTGGGGTTTGGGGTTTGGCTTTAGGGTTTAGTTTGGGGTTGAGGGTTTCGGGTTTAGGGCTTAGGGTTTAGGGTTCAGGGTTTAGGGTTTAGGGTTACACTCTTCTTGTAACACTCTCAACCAAGCATCTCCGGGGCAAAGGGACCCGAACTGGGGGTTCACCTACTTAACAACCCTGCTTCAAAAGTACTCCCCTGCTCCTGCCGGAGAGCTTCAGGAGCCCCAAACCCCTAAACCCTGAACCCCTGATAACCAAAACCCCTAAAGCCCTAAACTTCTGAAGCTGAAACCCTTCCGAACCCTGAACCCCTGAAACCTGCAGCCCCTAAGCCTGCGCTTCAACAAACGCTGTTTTCCACGGACGCCGAAGTTCGGATTCGGGTGTTTAGGGTTTAGGGTTTAGGGTTTAGGGTTTAGGGTTAAGGGTTTAGGGTCTAGGGTTTAGGGAAACGGTTTAGGGTTTAGGCAGGGCTCTGAGTTGCGGAACTCGGGAAGCTTGGGGTCTTTGGGCTGCTTTTTTGGGGGGTCTCAGGCCTTGTGGGCTTGTGGTGCACCCGCACGCGCCGACAGTCGAAGCCCCGCCGGCATTGGAAGCTCGTCTGATAATTCCAGACGCACTTGTCCACCTGGCACGTCTCTGAATTCATGGGCCCTTTGTTGCACAACCTCCAGTAGAGCCCCCCGAAGAACGCAAAAAATAGAAAAAGAAAAAGATCAACACCCCTCTCCTGGCAAGGTGTCGAGTTTTGAGGTAGCTAGTTCGGGGTTCTTCGGGGTGGCTGAGGGCTTTTGAACCCTCAACCCGAAACACTAAACCTTTCCGGTTGCCTGGGATTTGTGGTCGGGGGGTTCCTGGCTCGAAATGGTTCAGCTTTGGGGCGTGCCACCCTGAGACCCTGAACCTCAGCCCCATCCCCAGAGCAACCTTATGCATCAGAAACAGAGCTAAACGGTACCGACTCATTGCTGCAAGGCATATTATATATACATATAATATACATTTCTTTCTTCCCAAAGGCAGACCCGACACCCCAAACCCTACATCCTGATTTCGGGCCTGCGCAGAGGTCCAGTTCCTTCCCAGACGTCCCAGCCGCGCCCTGGGGGACGATCCACAAACAGGGGGGGAACCATCTGAAGACAGCTTCCCAGAGAGCCCAATGCCCCTTTCAGGAATAGACCTTGCATGATAAGGGGATCCTTGTTCTGATTCACGGGATATTCCTGAATTGAGGGGTATTGGGCTTTCTGGGATGATGAGGCCACTTCTCTAAAATTTGGTCTCTTCTTGGGGTCCTTACAATAAGGCCCCGGCGGCCCCTCTTATCGAGGGTACCCACAGCAAGGGAACCTTAATGTACAGAGCTCACCACATGAGTACTACCGGTTCCTTTTTGAAAATTCCGGTTATGTCACGATTCGCCTCAGTGAGGCGCTGCGCTTGTAGAAGAGGGCGTGGAAGAAGCCCTGGCCGCACTCGCCGCCCACGTAGTAGCCGCCGCTGGGCCGCCAGCCCTCGTTGGCCCAGCCGGTGAGCTCGGAGTAGTCTGCCTGGCGCCTCAGGCACTTAACAGAGACATCTTAGGGCACCTTCCCACACAGAAAAGAGGTGTTTTGTACATTTTGTGCGCCCTATTATGTGGCTGCAAGTTTTCGGAATCAAGCCGCGCGAAGTCCACGGCCGCTTGCAGTAGAGCTTTGTGGGGCTGCAGTGCAAAGAAGCCGACATTCAGGGCTTCCCCGATGCCGCCGTTGGTCGTCAGGAAGTGACCTTTTGGGTTTGGGGCTTCGGGCTGGGGGGTTTCTGTTTGATTTTGGCAGAGGGGTTAAGGGTTTAGGGTTGGGGCTATAAGTAGGGTTTTTGTGGGTGGGTGTAGAGAATCGAAAGTCATTTTAAGGGTGTCCCTGGCCTCCCGCTGCACATCTCAACAGCGGAGTGATGTCACCCTGGAACTCGATGTCGTTGTCGAAGTAAGCAACGGCGTCATACTCCTCGAGTCCTGTCACTACCATTTGCGTAGTCTTACATCAACCAACTTCTGCTTTATAGTGCTGTTATTGTCTATTGCCATGATTGTTACTACTACTGTTGGCTCTTATTGTTGTTGCTATGCCTACCCGGGAGTCCTAGGGCATGGAGACGAATGAAGTCTTTCTGGCCGCACCAATTCTCCTCCTTGCGAGAGCTGGGCTTGGGTGGGATAACTAATACCCATCGTAATTCTCATCTTAAGTTGACAAGATGAACACACCTATTCGACGAAAAGTTGAGTCGCGCCATCACCGATTCAACTTCGAAACTGTCCCAAGACAAGCCCGCCTTCGTGAAGCGCATGCCAGGTGGCAGGGACCAGTCCACGATGCGCAGCTGAACACCTGCAAAAAAAGGACTTCGGAACTCGTTTGTTGCTCTTTGCCCCCGCTTTCAAAGATTGCGGAAAGCTTCGAGCTCCGGCCCCTTAGCCCTAAGCCTTTCTGGCTTGGCAAGCCGAGCTGGATACCAACAAGCCCTTCGCAGTACTTCCTGTCGTTGAACCCTGAAGTCTGGCAGTCCCGCACCTTGTTTCTCCAAGTCTCGTCGCGAAGACGCGTCCATTGCTTTGACATCAGACTTTGTCATCAGGAGGAGGAGGTCGGCCTTTTCAGCAGACTACAACTGAACCGCCGCACCAACCCCAAGCACTCAAGTAGCTCCTGACATCGGAGAGAAACCTGGCTCAACTAGTTCATAAACTCGAGGCGGCCGTACTACTGTCACTACTGTGGTATCTTTAACCTGTCGACCACCTCTTTTGGAGCCCGCTGTCCGAGCCTTGTTGGCCGAAAGTGCTGCTGCTCTTGCAGAGTTCAGATACTCCAGCACCTTGGGCACAAACCGCCCAACGTACGAGAAGATCAGCGCGTACCTGCCCGCGAGATCTCTTTGCGCCCGAAGCCCAAACTCCTACCGACACCTCCAAATGGACAGTTCTTGAATATTTGGGGTCCTTACCATTTGAAAGAGCCCACCCTCGTGATGAGGATCGGGGTTTAGGGGTTGAAGCGTTCAGCAGATAAGGCTCCGATGCGCCTGCCCGTGGCCGGCGCCTGCGCCGCACAGGCCTCTCGGATCCTAAGCCCTTTTTCCTAAAACCTTGAACCCTAGGCCCTAAACCCGAAGTGTTGACAGTGGTTCTGCAACAGACTGCAAGCTCTTGAGGCTGCAAGAGAACAGCTGTGCAAGTTGAGCCCCAAACCCCCCTTTAACCCCGCAACCCTAAACCCAAAACTCTAGATTCTAGGGTTTAGCGACCATAAAGCTCCAAATCTGCACTTCCCACCCTCCCTTGCCTGCACATCCAGGCACGGCACGTAGGCCTTGCCATCGTTGCAGCAGTCCACGCAAGCGCTCGCGACCTGGGCTCTCGGAAAGCAGGCAGACTGTTCTGAATCCTGTTGCCTTACAGGAATCCTTTTCTATGAGACGCCCCTGTAAAACCCTAGAAAAGGGTCCTGGTCCTGGTTCAAAAAACTACAACACCACCACCACCACCACCACCACCACCACCACCATTACCACCACCACCACCACCACCCCCACCAGCACCACCACCACCTCCTCCTCCTCCTCCCCCCCCCCGCCCCCGTCAGCAGAAAAAAGAGTATTGCGTGCAAACAACATGCACGAAAGGCCAATAATACAGAGACAAAAGGACCAGAATCTGTTTCTTGCTTTGAAATTTGTCTTGTACTGCATGTTCATTCTAGTGATGTTCCTCTATGTTTGGTTGTTGCTCGATCGAGTTCATGCGTCAGTCAGGCCTTCACTCGCTAGCAAACAAAGAGAACTAGAACAACTAATCCATTAACTTAACCTGAGCGAACAGACAATCCTAATATTCCTAGTCATGAAGCCTCACGACCGCACTGACAAGGGAGGGAGCACAGCGACAATCCTAAAGAGAACAAAGACTCCTGGTAATCATGGCAATTTTCTATTAAATCCAGTTCGCTCCTTAGTAGGTAGGCACGTTCAGGGTCTAGGAGTTGGGCGCTGCATGAAGCAGACTCGAACAGCTGTCAGATGACACCCCAAAAACCAACGTGATGTCTGGACCAGCATCACCAAGAGGCAAGGTTTACCAAGGTTTGGGTGTTGAGGTTTCCTAAAACCCTCGGCAATCCTACAGGGTTTAGGGCTTAATAGGGTCTCATGGCTAGGGTTGCACGAAATCCCCAATTCTAAACCCTTTCTCGCCTCTGCTTGCTCCACCCAATGACTGCCCGCAGCTGCACCTTCGGCCAGTACCTAGCAGCTCGCGAATCGGCCGCAAGGCTTGTCACTCAAGGGCTGCGCGCTTTTGGGGTTCTGGGGCTTCAGGTTTCGGGCTTGAGGCTGTAGGATCCGCTCACTCTGGTTCTCAGGGTTGACAAGGGTTCTGATGAGCTTAGGCTTCGGGACTCAGGGTTTCGGAGTCAAACGCCCGCCTCATGGCGGATCAAGGACTGCCTCCCCACCGCGGTTGCTCCCGGCAGAGACGCCAGCACACACAGCCAAAGGTGGCGCATGGTTCCTCGTCCACTTGCGGGGGGTGCTTGTGGAGCTTGTAGCATGCAGCTGTCCCAAAATCCTTGCCCCGTTATGAATGGCTGTTCCCCGAACCCTCGGCATCATTCCACCCTAGACACCAAACTTATTGGGTCCTTCAGGGAGTGGGGTGCAAGGGAGGTATGTAACCCAAGTTTCCCTGAGCCTCCCCACTACTTCCGAAGGCTCCCGAAGCTTCCCTAAGGTTCCCTAGGTACGTACCCCCTATGAACTCCTTTAAGGACCCTACAAGCAAACGCACGGGTTCTGCAGGAAGGGCTGGCTTGTAACCAGCATTTTCTTTCGCAGTCCTCCAACCCCTGAAACGCCCCAAAAACCTGAAACCCTAAACCCCGAAAACCCCGAAACCCCCGAAACCCTAATATCCAAAAGGAGACCTCTTTGGGCATTCGTGACAACACAGACGTATATGGACATGGTACCCACAAGGGACCCTGTATCTCAGAGAACTGGCAACTTCGGGTTGAGGGTCTTGCATTCAGGGTTTTGGACCCAGGTTCAGGGTGTAGGGTTTAGAGTTTAGGGGTTTAGGGTTTAGGGTTTAGGGCTTAGGGTTTAGGGTTAGGGGTAACTTCAGAATGCTGGGTTTAGGGTTTAGTGTCAGGTTCAGGGCCTACTTACCTACTACAACTTGGAGGACAGGGAGAGTTTGGCACAAAGCAAGGTGAGAAGTACCCGAAACAAGGCCCAATTTGGGGGGATATCCTACGCTTAAAAAAAAACCTGCTCAATGTACCCACCTACAGAGTTCTCAACTCAAGTATTCAGGGTTTAGGATTTCTTCCAAGTGAGGGCGATGCCGATGCCATGCCCCGATTGCAAGTAACTCACGGCCCTGCCACCAAGGGTCATTATGAAGGCACCTGACTTAGATAGGGCGCGGACATGACGAGCACCCTTTGATGCAAAACGGCCGCAGCACAACGAGAGGGGTTGACTCCGGAATCCCAGGCCTCTGACAAGGGCTTGCCGAACAAAGCCTCTTCACGCCGAGAAAGGCACCGATTGGAGTAGGCTTTGGCACGAGCAGATGCTAGTCCAGTACAAAAGGCCTACGGAGGTCGAAGGGGTGAAGAGCCCCATTCCCCTAGAATTTGAGATTCCCGCTACAGCTCAAGAAACTCCGCACGACCGCGCCACCGATGCAAGCAGAATTTCAAAATGAGTGGCATTGAGTGGCTTTAGGATGAACCCCATAGCCACAGACGGATCCGAAGTATGGGCCCTGAATTTGGGTCCCCTGCTATATGACCCTTACATACACTATGCATAATAAGGGCCCATACTTCGGGATCCCTCTAAATCCCTTTAAACAAGGGTAACGGACCATACTAAGGGCCCATGGTTCCAACCTTAGACCAAAGGCTTTTGGAGCTTCTAGGCTTCGCAACAACTTCGCACATGTTCGTTCTGCGCAAGGAAGACTTGGCATCTGACCTTAAGTTGGGCGTCGGGGCGACTTCCGGACCCCTTAAACCCCTACACCCCTAAACCCCTAAACCCCTAAACCCCTAAACCCCTAAACCCCTAAACCCCTAAACCCCTAAACCCCTAAACCCCTAAACCCCTAAACAATAAACCCTAGCAAGCCAATGCCTCGCGAGAGGCATCATCTTCGATGGACAAGACATCAAAGCCCAGGTCTTGCAACCGCTGGGCTTCGGCCTCAGGAATGCAAGCACTTGCTGCTTCGCTCTCCTTGAACTTCTGCAGTCCACGGCGAGAAAGCTTTCGTAAAAATAAATGCCCCTAACCCTAAACCCTAAACCCTAAACCCTAAATCAACAAGGCTGCTGGTTCGGAGGTGAAACTGCACTTAGCCTTCCTCTCTTGCAGGGCCGCCTCTCTTGCAAGTATTCCGAGCTTTCTCGACAGCCTCATCTGAAATCTAAGCCAAGCCTGCGACACTCCTACTCAGACGCCTTCCTGGGTGAGGAGTCGAAGAGCACCCTAAACCCCGAACCCTTAACCCCAAACCCCAAACCCCAAACCCTAAACCCTAAACCCTAAACCCTGTTCCGGAACACCACAAACAAAGCCTCCACAAAGCCGGCAATGGAATCGCTGAGCTCGGAGAAGTTCTTCTCCTGTGTCTCAAAGAGCCCAACACCCCTTAAGTAAGGAATACTAAACTTAAGAATGTAATTAGGGTTTAGGGTTTGACTTTCAGGATCCTTATAACTACTGACGACATGTTCCTTCATTAAGGGGCAGAGAGGAGGAAACTCGCAGGGTCACCAGTCCTTCGCCACGATCCTGTCGCGTTGCGACGACAGCTCCGTAGCGACGGCGTCTAACCTTCGGGGTTAGGGACTGGGGGCTTCGCGGCTGCTTCGGGGTTTGGGGTTTGGGGTGTAGGGTTCCCCGGGTGCAGGTTTTTTTTTGGCCCTTTTTTTTGTTTTTGGCCATTTTTTCTTTATTTTGGGGGGGGGGGGGGGGGGGGGGGGGGGTTGGTAGGGTTTAGGGTTTAGGGTTTAGGGTTTAGGGTTTAGGGATTAGGGATTAGGGATTAGGGATTAGAGAGGAAAACGAGGAAATAGGGCCAAAAAAAAGGGCCAAAAATAATAATAATAAAAAGGCAAAAAATGGGTCACCTGTAGGGTTTAGGGTTCAGGGTTTTGGGTTCCGGGTTTAGGGTGTGGGGCAATGTAGGGTCTGCAACCGACGTCGGGATGCATCGGCGATGACTCCAAAGAGTCTGCAACCCTGGCTCACCTAGAAACATTTACTCGGAGGTTCAGGGTACTGATAGCCTCAATGACAACGGCACTTTGAAAGCCCACCCAGTCCTCTAAGTCTGTAAAAAAGTAGACTTAGAGTTAGGGGTTCGAAGTACCGCAACGCCTACACCACCCCTCAATAGCCAAGTCCAAGCGAAGCCGCTGTCGGGTCTGCGAGGCGATGAAGGTCTGCACAACCTGGCGCCGAGAAGCGGTCCCCAAAAGGCAAACCTCAAGAGACTTCAGCACCCTTTCCTTTTAAGGTACAGCCCCCTGCGCCCAATAAAAGCTCTAAAACCCCAAACCTCTCGGCGGAAGCGGGGGCGGAGCACTCTCTCCGCAAGCGTCATGTCGGGGGCTTTTGCGTTGTCTTTGGGTTGAAATTACGGGTTGCCTTAGGGCCTGTGGGTTTAGGGTTTAGGGTTTTAGGGTCTAGGGTGTAGGTTTAGGGTTTAGGGTTTAGGGTTTAGGGTTTAGGGTTTAAGGTTTAGGGTTTAGGGTTTAGGGTTTAGGGTTTAGGGTTTCGGGGTAGGCTTCTGGGGGGTTTAAGGCTTCAGGGCTTCGGCGTTGCAAAAAAAACAAAGGGCAATTCTAATTCTTCTATTTGCCTGAGGGGTTTACTTGGTGTAGGGGTTGAGATTGTGAGGATTCGAACCTTGAGCACATGCCCTGCAATCACCGTGAGCATAGGCCCCAAGACCCCTCATGTTAAACCAGAGTACCCCAGCGCAGAAGGAGGAGCTCTGTAGAATCTAAGGTATCGCCCTTGGGTTCAGGGCTTTAGGCTTTTGGGGCTTTCGGTTTTTTTTTTTTTTGTGCGGGTTGCTGGGCCTAGGATGGTTTAGGGTTCAGGGCTCTAGGGGATTCCAAAGGGGTCAGGATGGCGTAAAAAAAAGTTCGCAATGTTAACAGGAATTTCGGCTGAATTTCGGCTGGAGGGTCTAGGGTTCGAGGTTAAAGTCGATCTCGGCAAGACTTGGGGGCTATCGTTGGGTCTTAATAAAAATCAAAATTGAAGGCTCCTTTTTAAGTACCATGAACTACAAGCTCCAAGTAGAAACACCAGAGCCGCAGATCTCTCACCCCTTGGAGGCCTGGTCGATGGTGACGTGGAGGCGCTGCAAGTCCTCGCAACACCGCTGGCTTCGCTGCAGATTTCTGGGGTGCCCCCGTTTGCTCGTACATCTCGTGCCTGAGGTCTAAAGGCCTTTGGGAGCCCAGAGTGTGCTGCGCGGTTTGTTGACAGCCACGTTGCATGTTCTGCGAAGGGGCGTTCTGGCAAAAGCTGTCTGGGAGCTACGGTACGCTTGCCGCTTGTGGCGGGGGCAACCAGCCGGAAAGCAGTTCGGCGCTTGGCCAAAGCATGGTCGGGCTGGGATGCTGGCTTGTCATGTCGTGATGCACTGGCTCTTTTTAAGATGTCGTGAAAGCCCGTCCTGCCGCCATGCATCCAGATCCAAGGTTCTTGGCCTCCCGCATTTTTTCAACGTCGGGCACAAACATGACATGCAAGAGCTGATCCTGCCATATTGGTTGTTTTGGAGTTGTTGAGCTGTTCAGAGTTTAGAGAGAGAGGGATAAAGATAAAACAAAACAAAATGAAAGAAATGGATAGATAGATAAAGACGGGTTTTGAGAGAGCGAGAGAGAGAGAGAGAGAGAGAGTGGGATAGAGAGAGCGAGAGAGTTGTTGAGGTTTGGGGTTATGCAAAGGTTTCGCATGCAAGTTTCTTGCCCTAAACCCTAAACCCTAAACCCTAAACCCTAAACCCTACAACCCTAAAACCCTAAACCCATCCGCTGGTGATCACAGCTCAGGCATGACATGACCTAGGCGACGTAGCAAACAACCGTTTAACTTTCGGACGTTCCCCCTTCTACTAACAGGGTTTAGGGTTTAGGGTTTAGGGTTTAGGGTTTAGGGTTTAGGGTTTAGGGTTTAGGGTTTAGGGTTTAGGGTTTAGGGTTTAGGGGTTTAGGGTTCTACTATTTGGAGGGTCGGGGGACTTAGTAAGTAGATAGTAAGTAGACATATAAGTACCCTAAAGGGGACCCTAATGGAGTTATCCTACTTCTAACTCTATCAGATAGCTGCTTACTAAGTCCTCCGACCCTCCAAGTAACAGCCCTCTGTAGGGATTGCATAGGGGCTACTAATAATCCCTACTGAGGACTGCTAGTTTACGGGGGAGCGGGAACATCCCAAATTGAACTCCTGAATGCTCAAACCCATCTGCCTTCGATCACCGCAGGCATCTCCATCCAACTGCGGCTCCTGCTCCAAATACGAATGTGCAACTATATCTCTAACGCTTATCTCTGCAGGAGAGGAGTTTGGAAGGCTTGGCAAAGTAGAGCGTTTCTTGGGCAAGTTCGGGTCTTGCTATATGTTCTGTTGTACTCTAGGGATGGGAACATTAGAAAGCGGCGTCTGCTGCGCAATTGATCGAGACGCGCACCTTGGATTGCTCCATCAGCTCGGGTTCCCTCACGTCACACTGTTGGATTTACATGCACATTCGGTGCTTTGGACTTGTCTCTGGCAACCTAAAGAAAAAACCATCTGGCTGATGAACCAATAGGATTCAAGAGGGACAGCACACCAATGTCCAACATACACGTGTCATGAGTCACTAGCAATAGCCTTTTTGTTGGCTTCATCCGAGCCAGAGTCGCTACGGCGGCCCACCAGCCCTGCAGGCAAAGCGGTAAGAGGTTCAGGATATATATATATATATGTATATAATATATATATATATATAATATTATGTAGTCTAAGGATACAAAAACAGACTGAAGAGCCTTCTCATGTCTCCCAAGCTCGTTTCATGCTGTTCCCCTCCCAATTCGTAAACCTCCTCACCCCGACCAAGTTTGAACCCCACCCCCCGCCCCTCCCATTTGCAAACCCACCCCAATCTGACTTCCACCCCGTCCCCTCCCACCCCAAACAGTTGAAGCCACCCCCCCGCTGCCGGATCGCCGGAATCCATGCAAAACAGGTGCACAACTTACGGCCACAGCTCTCGAAGCAACGAGAATCTGAAGACACATCATTTTGCTTGGTTGTGCGTATGTTTCTTGGCATGTGCCCAGGGCATGCCTGGCTCGGCGTGGTCACATGGCGAGATGAGAAACGGCCTTCCAGTTCGGCATCGTCTTAAGTGATTTGTGCTCCTTGATCTCCGCTAGGCTCACCACGACGATCCCAATGATGGAGGCAACAAGCACCGCGATGCCAACGGGCAAAGCGAAGGCGAAGGCGCCGAAAATGGCAAGGCCCCCCAAGGCAAAGAAAAAGAAGGCTCCGACGCAGCTGAACCCGCCCTCAGAGGTGTCTGTTCTGCATTTGCTGCCGTAGTGAATGCTTACTTTCCAGAGGATCACGGTGACGATAAACAAGATGAAACAGATGAAGATGCAGGCGAAGATGAAGCCTCCGTCCTGCACTCTCTCAGACTCGTCTTCTGCAAAACCTGATGTCCCGCTCTCCAGGAGGCTGATCTTATCCGAGCCCAGAGCACGAACCAAACGGTCCGACTTCACCTGAATGAAGCCGTCTTCGCCTGCACTCGTCGAGTTGGACAACAACTGCTTCCCTTCTTCAGCAGCCTGAATCAAGCTCTGCAGATCCACTTCTTCTTCATTGAGGAGAAAAGCCCGGCAGGGTGTTGGAATCCCCTGGGCAACATCCTTCAAGTCATTGAGGTCGTGGCCAGGCACACCCAGAAAGTAGTCCGCGAAGGTCTCGAGCTGTGCTCGCATGTCGTCCGTCTCGTCACTGAGGATACACTTATCATTGGTCTCTTGCTTTAGGAACTGGATAAGCATGTTGGGGCGCTTCTTGACATAGTCCACCAAGGTGCTGTGCAGCTTTGCCGGCACGGAGAAGTCCTGAGAGTCGCGCACTTCCGCGATGCTGGCCTGACCTGCCCTCTGGTACTGCGGGATGGTCAGTCGGTCCGGGCGGCCGCGCCAATGCTTCATGTCCGTTCTCGCCGCGCGTGCCGCAGCCCTGGTGAAGTCGCCCTCTTCGGGGGCAAGTCTCATCGGGAAGGCCTCGATCACATCGAGCATCTGGGTGACTTCCTGAAACATGGCCGCGGAAGCCTTCAGAGAGGATCGGCTCGACGTCTTCTCTGAGATCGCTGGGCTCTCTTGCATCTTCTCTGCCAGGTCCAACATCTCTCTTTTGATGTCCTCCATCTTGTTCGCAATCTCCAGATCTGCAGCCTCATGATCTGCTGCACCCAGCGCCTTGCACTTCTGTTCAGCACCGAAAGGTGCCAGGTTGTCTGCAGGGCTGGAGCCCACCTTTTCACAGAAGTGCGAGGGGCCACAGACATCGTTCTCCGAGTCGTAGAAGCAGCGGAAGACACAGGTATTCGGCCTGCCCATACCTCGAACAATTAAAGCAAATCGACCTACACCGATTGAGACTACTGCCTGCTCCGTGTGGAGACCCGAAACACGGAAACCCAAAAGAGTAGAGAAAACAAAAAAAAAAAACGGCTCCCTGGCCCAAGAGCGGGATGCAGGAAACCTGGCCGAGCATTCCATCCACCAACGCCATGAGGTCGCGATCGGGCCGTGTCAAGAGCTTCGGGGCCTCACCAGGCACCTGCAGCTCCATCTGGGGGTCGAAGGACTTCGTTGCATGAAAGTCCACGTTGTCCTTGCATGACCGGAATCCCAAAAAAAAAAGACCTAGGGTGTTTCCCTATCGCAAAGCAAGGATGTAAGACTGTAAGACACATCCTGGGACCAGCCAAGCATCCTCGTTTATTTTCTCTTGTCTGCCCTTGCTGTTGAGGTAATAGCGGAGAGTCTTGTCGCCCTCCTGGTGCTCGTAGACCTTGTGCCCTGCAGAACGGAAGAAACCCGATGTTGTCTCTCCCACCACCGGGTTCATTTCCATGCGGAAGTACAAGGCATCGTCCTTGGAGTAGTGGCTGGATCCGAAGCGTCCCTTGTTAGCACGATAGGCCTGCCAGCCCACGATCCACGTGGTTTGCATGCCGTCGATCTTCTCGGTCGCCACAACGGCATCCGGCAGGATGCGGTACCTTGTGTCCAGGCCATCGATCTCGATGTACGGAGGCGACTCCTCTTCCTTGTATCGGAAGGTTACATTGGCAGGAAGCCATAGCAAGGAGCTCTGCTTCCCCGAAGCCCACATGGTCGAGATGGAGAAGCCGCCAGCATCCGTGACCTTTTCTTGCTGCTGATATCGGGCAGAGGACTCCTCCCTGGCATTTCCGACGATCTTGATTGCATGTGCTGTTGAAAATGTCTCTCGCGCGGCAGAAACCTCCCTCATCGCCAACAAGAAGATGAGTGCATAGGCCAACCTCTGGCGGGCTGCGCGCTTCCCGGCCATGACTGGTTCACAGGGGAACGAACAATTCGCAAACAACTTCAAGCTTTCGTCAGAATGCTTGAGCTGTACCGGACATGTAGAATCAGAAGAAGAAAAAGTTGGTAATCATCCGAGAACTCGACTCGCAATTTGTTGGGGTTTCTGTCTTACGGTTGT